CTGAGAAATACCGGCGAACTTGATCTGGATAATACCAGCGAAAGGACATGCTTCTTTGACCCCCCTGCCCAATGTATGAGTGATAAAGGGCCGTGACGTACTAACATGTGCAGCATCACGCTTGATCTGTCAAAATGTCGACTGATAAGATCACCTTCCTCACCAACTGGTAGGATTGCTCGCGTGATGACCGTTGCCGACGCAATCTGACACTGGACCAGGCACGCTACGCCGTACCATGCTCCGCTCTACCTTGCTCAGGCCAAGGGGTACTTCAAGGAAGAAGGCATCAAGGTCGCTCTGCTTGAGCCCAATGACCCCAGCGTACGGCAACTCTGGCAATTATCTCACTGTCTCGGGCGCTAATCCCTCAACAGGATGTCACCGAGATCATCGGTACCGGCAAGGTCGATCTCGGCTTCAAAGCCATGATCCACACTCTCGCCGTGAGTCTCCAGTTCGTCCTCCTCAGCTCAGCGCTGACACTACTCTCAGGCCAAGGCCCGCAACTTCCCGGTTCTCTCCATCGGCAGCCTCCTCGACGAGCCCTTCACGGGCGTCGTCTATCTCAAGGACTCGGGCATCACTACCGACTTTCGCTCCCTGAAGGGGAAGCGGATCGGCTACGTGGGCGAATTTGGTAAGATCCAGATCGACGAGCTGACATCTCACTACGGCATGACGCCCGACGAGTACACGGCCGTACGCTGCGGCATGAACGTCTCCAAGGCCATAATCGAAGGCACCATAGACGCCGGCATCGGCCTGGAGAACGTGCAGATGGTCGAGCTCGAGGAGTGGCTCGCGGGCCAGGGCCGCCCCAAGACGGACGTGCAGATGCTCCGCATCGACGAGCTCGCCGAGCTCGGTTGCTGCTGCTTCTGCACCATCCTGTACATCGGCAACGAGTCCTTCATCGCCGAGAACCCGGACAAGGTCCGCAAGTTCATGAAGGCCGTCAAGAAGGCCACCGACTACGTGCTGGAGCAGCCCGAGCAGGCCTGGAAGGAGTACGTCGACTTCAAGCCCGTCATGGGCTCGGACCTGAACCGCAAGATCTTTGAGCGCAGCTTCGCGTACTTCTCGCACGACCTGAAGAACGTCGACCGCGACTGGGCCAAGGTCACCAAGTACGGCAAGAGGCTGGGCGTCTTGGACGAGAGCTTCAAGCCGAACTACACCAACGAGTTCCTCGACTGGGCTCTCGACGAGGACTCTCAGGACCCCACTGGCGACCAGAAGAGGATGGTCGAGTTGCAGAGCGAGGTTGCCTGCAAGGGCGGCTTCCGTCGCTTGAAGCTGCAGTCCGCCGTCAAGGCCTAAGGACTTGGAGGCTCTGCAATAATCGCGGATAATGTTGGTTGGTACGAGGGAGGGCTTCACTCATTTTGCCTCGCATGACCTCTTCACCCAGGGAATCGTCGGTCACTTATGATAGAGTTGCGTCGGTCAACCTCTTTGGGATACAATACAAACCAATCCTGGGCACATGCAGCATCTGTAACCTCGGTGAACCATGGTGAAGTCACCCGCCAACCCATTGTGTCGGTCAACGATATCCAGCGCTGGGTTTCTCGTGATGATTCGAGTGTACGAGGATGAATTCGCCGAGCGGCTTGTGCGAATGCCATGTTCTGGCATTCTGCAAGACGCTAAAAATAAAAACAAAAACAAGAGCGGCTGTAGTTATTGGAATCAACCTTACACGCAAGCGCATTCATTGTCTTACCCTGGTTTATTCCAAGTGTGACAAATCATCATGGTCGAAACCATTGCTTGGCAACCCCCCAATCCAACCAATTCTGGTCTTCGCGGATGACTGCACGGGCTGCGTACTACAAAGCAGCTATCCGTGTCGTGTTTGCTCGCGACGCGTGTATGTGTGTCGGCTTTGATCAACCGACAGCTGCTCGATGGCGAATGGAATCGCCAAGCTCTTATCAAAGCTGGGCCACAACCTTGATTTTCCATGGCTCCCGTCTTAGCCGTCAACTTAGTAACATAGTGTGTCATCGAGCCACATGGGAGCATCGTCACTGGATTGGCCGCACTTCACGGAGATTCTTTCAAAAGTTCCGATAACGACCATGGCCAAGCCATGGTTAATCGCAATAAACATGCCGGCGACAGCGGTGCAATCATATCCCAACATCCCAACATCCCAACATCCCCAACACATCCCGGCTCCAGGACAAGCACCCGGCCTTGACCTGGTTCGTTACCCCCCCTCTCTCCTCTCCTCGCCGTCTGATAACATCATGCTTCTTTCTGCCATCGCAGAACGTTTGGGCTTGTGCCAGCTTGAGGAGCAAGCAATATTGGTTGGCTACACAAAGAAGTGAGACACGAAGATCGCATATCGGGCCATTTCTCGGCGGCGGCGGCTGGCGCGGGGCGAATCAGCTCACCCAGGACCCCTGGAATGGCTGCCCTCCTTGCTGCCATACCCCTGATGGGAAATGGTTCGCCTCCGACACCCGCAGACCCGCAAGCTCATGCTTAATTCTAAGTTGATATGGCCCAATCACTGGGCCTCGTCCGTCATATGTAGTGTTGATATTGGGCCTGCTGGGCCTCCCGGACGCATTTGCCTCCTTCGCCTCCGTTTGTTTGCTTCCTCTCGACAGTGAGCTTCGCCAATTCGATTCGTTCTCAGTGCTTCGAGGTTTCCTTGCCCCAGGCTTGGATCCGCAGACTTACTGCCGTGTCAGGGACGTGCGGACAAGGTTCCCGGACGGGATCGGCGCTGCCCCCCCCCATGCAACGTTTTCCCTCCTCACCACATCACCACATCACACACCTGACCTAGTAGTAAGTAAAGTACGTTGCCAAGGCGGTGCCTCCTAAGGTATCGCAAACCTGGACCAACGCATCAATGCCTCCTCGTGCTAGGCCGCTCTATTGGTTTGCTTCCAGCTCCAAGATGTGTGTTCCCTTCCCAGTCCCCTGACCTGGGGGTGGAGAGACTGTGCGTCACGGCTTGAGGTTCCCTCACTGGTTGGCTCTCGGCACTTGTCGTCCTGTGTTCCTTTAATTCAAACCGGTCAAGGGGACCCACGATACGCCGCTCCAACGAGAGCGTCGGACACGGCTTCTACTGTCGAGCCACCGTCGAATGCATCTACCCTCCTGCCCGAACAGGTAATGCTGGAGGCCGATATGCTCGAGAGGGAGAAGAAGCAACGGTTCCAAAACTCTTGCATCACTTTTTTCTTGCAACTTGATCATGCAGATTGAAGATAGAAGTGAGTATAAGACCGGCCTGCCTGCAGCGTCTTGGATGCATTGTTCATCACACCGCTGACCGCCTCGACAGCAACGATCTCAGTCATTCTTTTCAACACCAAGCCGCTCGCTATCTGAAGGAGCCTGTTCACTCTTTCGAGCCCATCAGTTCTCGTCATCAAAGTCACGATGCACGCCGCAACGCTTCTCGCCCTCCTGCCCCTTGCGGCCGTTGCCGCCCCCTCTAAGCGTGCGCAGCCCGCCCCCGTGCTCAAGCCCCGCGGCTCGACCCTCGTCGCCGACAAGTACATTGTCCGGCTGAAGAACGAGGCCAAGACGGGCGCCCTGCAGACCCTCATGAGCACCTTCTCGGCTGATGCTGACCACGTCTACAACTTTGGCAACGCCCTCCGCGGCTTCGCGTCGACCCTGAACGCTACCGAGATCGAGAAGCTCCAGAACGACCCCGACGTCGACTTCATCGAGCAGGACGCCATTGTGACAATCAAGGCGACGCAGAGGAACGCTCCATGGGGTCTTGCCAGAATCTCGAGCTCCGAGCCCCGGTCCACCACGTACAGCTACGACGAGAGCGCTGGAGAGGGCACCTGTGCGTACATTGTCGATACCGGCATCGACATCGACCACCCTGTAAGTCTACGTCCCCCCCCCCCCCCCCCCCCCCTTCGGGCCACTGAACTATGCCTCTGACACTGCCCCGACAGGAATTCGAGGGCCGCGCAAGCTTCCTCGCCAACTTTGCCGACGAATCCGACGTCGACGGCCAGGGCCACGGCACACATGTCGCGGGCACGGTGGGCTCGGCGACGTACGGGGTGGCCAAGAAGACGACGCTCTTCGCCGTCAAGGTGCTCGACTCCAACGGCGAGGGCACCAACTCGGGCGTCATCGCCGGCATGGACTTTGTCGCCGCCGACGCGGCGGGCCAGAAGGGCTGCAGCAAGGGCGTCGTCGTCAACATGTCGCTCGGCGGGCAGAGCTCCGAGGCCGTGAACCAGGCGGCCGCCGCCATCGTCAAGGCGGGCCACTTCCTGGCCGTCGCGGCGGGCAACGAGGCCGCCGACGCCTCGACCTCGTCGCCCGCGAGCGAGGACAGCGCATGCACCGTCGGCGCGACGGACATTGACGACCTGCTGGCCGAGTACTCCAACTTTGGCACCAGCGTCGACATCCTCGCCCCCGGAACCGACATCAAGAGCACCTGGCCTGGCGACAGCACCGTAAGACCGCTCCGGATCCGGTCGCTCGCTCCCCCTGTTTGTAAGACAGAACGCTGACGTGAAGCCGTTTTTCTTTCTTTTAGAACACCATCTCTGGCACTTCCATGGCCAGCCCCCACGTCGCCGGCCTCGCCGCCTACCTCCTCGGCCTCGGCTCCGCGCCTTCGAACCCCGTCGAGCTGTGCAGCTACATCGCCGAGACTGCCCTCGACGGCGTTGTCGGCCAGGTGCCCCGCAGCACCGCCAACAAGCTCGTAAACAACGGCTTCGCCGGAAACGGGACCGCCAAGCGCACAGATGGTTCCGTTCTCGGCAGGAAGCTGAACAAGAAGTTCTCCATCCGCGCATAAGTGAACAAAGCGGTGGCGGGCGGCGGGACGTGAGAATATCTTCTCAGGTCGTCCCTGATAGAACTGGGTGATCCAGTCCGATGGGTATGATGACGCGGCATGAGGTTCTCCCGGAGACTCTCCGGCATATGACTTCCAATCTTGTACAAATTAGATTTCACTTCCGATATGTATACATGACCTTTTTGATGATTTCACTTCTTCGTTGTGTGGTTCAGTGCGCTACTGGGCCTTCTTTCGACCGAAGGTACATATGGTTCATGAGCAAGACCATTCTTGATCTAGGATATGGCTGATGCAAGAGTGTCAACAGGTGTCATTCGCGCATGCAACAATAAAGACTGTCAGAAACATGAAGGCATGTAAGAGATACCAAAGTGTATCAAGAGGCTGTCGCCGCCTTTGCCGCTTGCCGGCCGGCTATCCTTCCATAAACCACGCACTCCAACAACGACGAGCCGCCCAAGCGGTTATCTCCATGGACGCCACCGGTGATCTCGCCCGCCGCCCACAGGCCATCGATGGCGGTTCCGTCTTCTCTCAGAACCTGCGAGTTGTCGTTGAACGCCGCGCCGCCCATCGTGAAGTGTGAGATGGGCGTGACGCGGCCGATGCAGACCTCTTCCTCGCGGTTGGCTTCTCCGGCCGCAAGGTTCCAGCGCCCAAACGTCCGCCTCCCAAAAGCCGAGTCGGTCCCCGACGCCACCGCCGCCGCGTACTCGTCGACCGTCTTGATGATTGCCGGGCTCAGCTCCTTGACCCTCTTCTTCTCCATCAGGCCTTTCCACAGGTAGAAGCCCAGGTGTCCCGCCGCGGCATCGCACGCGCCGGGATCCATGAGCAGCGTCACGTCCCACTGCCTGACGGCGCCGTTCTGCTTGGGCGGCAGCTGCATGACGGCCCTGCTGACGTGCTCTCTCGTCTCCATCTCGTTGACGAACCTCTCTCCGCTGCCCGAGAGCAAGATGCCGCCTTCTCCCCGGAGTACCTCTGCCGCAAGGAACTTGTACCGCGCCGAGGGGTCCTTGGGGTCGACGAAGCCGGTCGGGTGCACCTGCACGCTGTCCATATCGACAAACGCGGCCCCGACGGCCTCTAGGATGCCATGAGAAGCGGCCCGGGCCTCGTTCGTCGACGGCAGACCTGCCAGATCCGGGCGGTGCTTGGCCAAGAGACCGTTCGCGTCGCCGGCGAATCCGCCCGCGGCGAACACAACGGCGCCCGTGAGGTCGTGTTCTTGGCCGTCTTGAACGTAGCGCACGCCCTGGACAGCTCCGTCGGCCACGTTGAGGGAGGTCACCTCGGCGGAGCTGCCGAGTCGGAAACCGGGGTTCTCTCCGAGCTTCTTCAGCAACGTCGTGACGATTGCTGCGCCCGGCGGGGTCGTCCCGGCCCCTCGATGGGTCCGAGGAAGCGAATGCCCGCCCAAGGTGGCCACGACGCTCAGGTCGACGCCGACGTCGTCCACGAGCCACGTGACAGCGTCGGCGGAGCTGCTCGTCAGGAGATCGACGAGTCTGGGGCGGTCAACCACGCCCTTGGCCTCGACGAAGCGCTTGCCGCCCGAGCGTGCCGTGTCGTCGTAGAATGAGATGTCCTTTTCCACGCCGGCGGCCTTCTGGAACCGCGTCCCGGCGCCGTTGATGCCGGACGACGCCTTGATGCTGTTCCCGCCGGGCTTCGGGGCGCGGTCGAGCATGTGGACCGAGGCGCCGGCTTTGAGAGCCTCGTGTGCGGCCGACAGGCCGGCAAGGCCGGAGCCGACGACGATGACGGACCCGCGTGGTGTCTTCGCCATGGATGCCGATGAAAGCCGAGTGCTGTGGGTTATGATGCTCAATTTACTGGCGATGGGTTGATGGTAGAGCATGCTCAGGATGGCTGCGAGGATGCCGAAGACGAGTGTGATGACGAAGCGGCGCATGGGACGGATAAACATTCTGATTTCAGGTGGGAGATGGGGCGAGGCCGTCCTCTAAGTGAAATGAGGCCTATATAGTCGTGCGTTCCGGCCGCGGTGCTCGGTGGTCGTGGGCAAGTGAAGTCAGGCGATTTCGAGTCGTACGATGTGATCGGAAGAGGGACGCGATTGTGGTCTTATTGACAGGGGAACTTTGTCAGGTCAGCATGTGGGCCTCGAAATTCACGTAACACAGAGTCGCTGAGTTACAAGAAGGTATAATAAAATACTGCTAGACTCTAGTTAATGGCCTTTCTTCGAATATGCTTTGCGATAGTTTTACGGTATGATTCGCGGCCGTTCAATGCGTCTGGGAGCCACGCATGTGAAATATCCCAGCATTTACGAATCCAGAGCATGCCAGACGTTTTGGAGTACCCGTCCAACTTCAAAGCGTCTCACTTCAGGACATATGTCCTATTAGACGTATATCCTGCATAGGTCCGAATCTAACAGTGCTCACCTTAAGGAACATCGGACAGCGTTAGTTACTATGGCGCTATGTTATCGGCGTACAAGATCCGAGTCGCCCAAGGCCATCGTCCTGCATCGTGGAAGAAAACGCGCAACGTGACGTAATTACCTAAAAACCATCAAAGGTTCTCGAGACGCCCGATATTTTCGAGGATCAGTTTGCTTGATACCGTGCTGAGATTTCACGTTTCTTACGAACCACCACTTGTAAGGCGCAGTTCTTGGGCCAGGGGTAAGAAGGGAGGCATAACAGTGTCACCAAAAGGGAGCAGAAGCACATGTTTCTAGGAAGCGTGGGTGGTTCCAATCCTCGAAGCAAAACACAGAAACCCCCCGGGTGGGAGCCTCCTGGAGAACGCGGAATGCTTCGCACCGGCTGCCGTCGCACCTTTCGATCGATCCGCCAGCTCTTTTAGAAGGCAGTGATGAAGAACAAGTTCTGAGAACGGCGGCTCTTGGCTATTTGGGGGATTGCTTTGGACTCCAGGCCGGAAACTCTGGGTTTTCAATGATTGCCAAGGTTAAACCTCATGCAGAGGAATCAAAGAGCAGGCCATTCTCAGATAGGCTGGGTCTATGTATGCCATTCACATTGCCGAAGCTGGCAAGTCTTGCAAGTAGACGGGCTTGGATAAAAAATAGTAAACCTACTACTGCTGATGGGAACGACCCTATCCTATCGGGTTTTGATGACAAGCAATATTGCGCAATCCCTTCATATGGTCTTTCTATGTATGATCCTTGGCAGCGAAAAGCTCACTTTCAATTGCAGCGACGGTCAAAGATGCTATTTTCGAAGAACGCCGTGCAACAAGCAGTTCGACTCTGATGCGGGACTCTGATGCGGCTGCAGTCATGAGGTGTCAGTATGCGCTGACCAGCATCGAGTCACCGGTCAAGGTGCCAGAGTGGTTAATGGGCTGCCCTGCTATCGGATCTTCTGGTATCAGCACAGGCAGTGGCTTCGGTCGCGCAGGTTCGAATCCTGTCCTTGACGTCGTTTTTTGATGCCTTTGGCATGCTACTACGTTTGCCATGCCCGGGTCCGTCGAACGGCGCCGATTTTTGCTCTCGTGCACGCGGGACGCCCCAAGTCGCGCCCCTTTGAGAGGAAAGCACCGGTAAAGTAAGTAAGTAGTCAATGCTGTTGTAAACGGAGCAGGGGATGCTTGGCTTCGACGCCGTCTTGGTGGTGGGTCGAGCTCGGGGGGTTGGACGCGAACCGGCCCCCGTCGCTTATTTGCTTCTCACCGACATTGATCTCTAGGCCATGGTTCTTTTGTGTCTGGAAGTCGTTGTCTAGTTGGTAAAGTTGAGCTGGGAATCAATCCATGAAGGGTCACCGTCAATTTCGCTGAGTGACTAAGTAACCCCAGGCACAACTGTGATCCAGACCGTTTCAGGGCTAGCCGGCCCTCTTTCATTCGGATGGCACTCGTGGCAGACGGGCCCATCTGAGTTCTCGGGGGATAGAGAGCTGCATCATCCGGAACCAATCATGTAGATACCCCCTCGACGATATTCTCTTCACTCGGAGGGCGAGGGCAAACTCCCCGGACTGTCGTCGAGGGGCCCTGTCTGTCTACATACAGGTATGCGTGGGTAGGAACAGTAACACCGAACTTTGGCTGCTGCCGAGCTATCCGATAGTGCATCGTGTGCGCGTCTCCCATCTTGGCATCGGCTTCCGCTCCTTGTCCTGCAGGCAACGACGGGCAAAGGGCAACTGGACGAAGACGACGCCAGGGTTCCCGGAGCTTGTCTGCCTTTGGAAGGCAGTAAAGGAATTGCAGAAGGCTCCGCTCTTCTTCAAACCATGTATTTCCCATAGGCGTCAGTAAGCAAGCCACACATGCAGCAGACGACGCTGGAGACTCTACGCCGTCTGTCATCCTGTCGCCCGCATCTCCGTTCGTCCAAGGTCCTCCGCAAGTCGCTCCAGACGACAACAGAGAGCCGGCCGGGTTTAGACAAGAGAAGACGGGCTCGCTGCGGCCCTCAACAGCGACAAAAGGTTGAGAACCCATCCCCCTCCCTCAACGGGCTGACAGAAGCCAAGCTAGGAGTGGAACGACTCTTGACCTGCTCGGAGAAATGGAAGTTGTTTAGCTCTCTCTCTTTCTCTCTCTCTCTCTCTCTCTCTCTCTCTCTCTCTCTCTCTCTCTCTCTCTCTCTCTCTCTCTCTCTCTCTCTCTCTCTCTCTCTCTCTCTCTCTCTCTCTTCAGGTGGTGGTGCAGGGTCCTGCAGCCAGCGGCGGGTGCACGCACAATGCAACGTGTTGCCGGGGGCCCTGTAGCTCTTGGCATTGGGCACCACCCCAACGCATGTCTCTCTCCCTGGGAAACGCGGACCAAAACGGCGTCGTTGTGTTCTTGGCGGCTCGGGCAGCTGGATGTGTGTGTCTGCCTTTACGGCTACCAGGTATGGTATTACCTCCCGTCGAGCTCGGCTCTCGTTCGAGCCTCAATCATTGGCATTACGGGCCAAGGGGCTGGGCATCGGAGATCGATCCACGGGCGAGCTTCCTTGGTTTGAGGCAGCCATATGATTAGAGAGCCGCGGGCAATTGTATGTCTCCTCGTTCCATCCCAACCTATGTGCACACCATAGAGCCGTCCGCCCGTCCGGGCCAAAAGACCTGGCGGGTGAAGAGCATAGAATAACCTTAAGCTATGCTTTTAGCGTAAGCAGGAGCCTGATGCGGGGAAAGCTAATTGAATAGTGCGCCGTCCACGTTTTCGCGGTGGTGGTTGAGTGCGCCGGCCCGACGCATCATTCGAAATACAGAGGGACGCCTTCACCCGAGACTTCGCGCCTTTGTCGGCCACTCCTGGGGCGCCTCACGGTCCGTCAGTCTGCCAACTTGCTTCCCGCCACGGCTCGGGCATCTCGCGGGTGGCATAGTCCGTCCTTCACTAGCGGGCGAAAAGCCATAGGGGCATCGGCGATGGAAGCCCCAGAACAAAGTGAATAGCGACACAACGGGCTGCTGCTCAGGACGGGTACAGGTAGAATGCCAGAGCGATTTGGTCGGCGGCCAGTGGGTTAAGCCTATTTTGGAAGGCACTGCCACCACCGCCACTGCCACCGCCACGGCCACCACTGCCTACGTCCATAACCCATGCGAAAAACGCCCTTTTTGCCGCAAATCCACCATCGCCAACAGACGCCCACAATGCCCGCGTTGGTGCCACCGTCGCCGCAGCCGTTACAGTAATATAGGTACTATGGGCACTATGGGCAGGGTTAACTTGGGCCTTGAATTAGTCACGTGATATAATGAATTTTTGAAATAATTGCAGCTGTTTCTATTTTGCCTTGACTTTGAATTGCTCAAATCTGAAGAGTTTTTAACTTTACGTAACTTTCTGAATCCTGGCCTTCTCATTGGTTAGTTAAGTCAGAATGTTGTTGTGGGCGATTTCTTGCTGGCGCTGACATAATGCATTCTGAAATAGGCTTAATCCACTGGCCGCTGACTAAAGCGCTCTGGCATTCTACCTGTACCCGCTCAGGACTACACAGAATGTAATTCGCGGCCCTCCAAGGCCAGGGGCCAATGGCCCTTTTTGCCCAGGTGACGACGGTTCGCTAATTAGTGGCCTGACAATCACCTCCGCGGAGCCGGGGCAGAAAAGGGCAGTGATGGGCGCGCTGGCGTGATGCCAACACCGCGCGAAGTGGATGAGCACTATTCCACCCCCCAAGAGTTGCGTGACGAGGCTTCTTGCTGGGCGCGGCATTTCATCAAAACAGGAGACCAACTCGACCGCTGCGAGTTCGGCGCCGGTTAGGGGTAATAACATAGGATGCATGCCTGCGGATGACACACCATTGTGGCATATCGGTTGCCATTTCCCCCCCGTTTGCAGAACGGGGACCGGGGCGTAATTGCTCCGTTTCGTCACCGGGGCTTTATGTCCTTTTGCCGAAGAAGAGCGGCGGCGGCAATATTGGCATTGGTTCCACGGTCTTCCACCTGCGGACCAAAGGAGCGCCGCAGAGGAGGTTGTGTACAAAGACAAGCGCAGGACGAACCGCGAACTCTGGGGGGGGGGGGCGGTCTGGGGAAATAAACTTCAGAGCGTCCACGAGATCTGGGGAAGAAAGACAACTTCGCGCCCGCAGCGAATCGACGCTGCGCCACGAAATATACCTAGGCGTCCCCGAGGTCCAGGTCCGACGCCAATCTCGAAACCGCCGTCACCAGAGACAACGGCACGCTCTATGTGTCAAAGGGTGTGTGTGTGTGCGCGCGCGTGTGTATAAGTGCAACGTTTGGCCTCGGTAGAAGCATAACAATCCCAATGGGGTGTGTAGGAAACGCACCCCAAGCTTCCCCCGCAGGCCAGCGCCATGTGGCCATTTGTCTCTTCCCGCGCCTCTGACGGAGGTCGATATTAGGGGGGGGAGGGGTCGATCACCGCAGTCATTGGTGCGGTCATGATGACGCCTGGTCCGCACTTGGCCCCGACATGCCGGCGATGAAGACTTTCAGAGGGCATGCGACGCCAATGGAAGCCCGAGATGCCTTTGAGAGAGCTGCCTATAGACGATATCCTGGACGCTCGAAGGAGGACGGCCGGCCCATTGGTAACCATCGTCGACTGGCCCTGCTGACTGGCAGCAACGGGGTTCACATTTGTCTCGAACGACCCAGGATGCTGCCAGCGCACCCCGTCTTCCCCGCAACCCAAGCTCGGGGATGCGAATTGGAGGGGAAGAGGGGGCGTGGACAGGGACCGGCTGAATTGGACGGGCGTGACAGAATGAATCGCGGGCAGCAGGCAGCAAGATGTGGCGTCTCATCCGATGAGCCGGGAGCGTCGAAACGCGCGATGCCATGCAAGGGCCGAAACAGTGGTGCTGTGTTCCCACCGTATAAACTACAAACCGGAGAGAGAGAGAGTGGGTGTGAATGGGCAATCCCACTCGGTGGTCTATGCTGTCGACCAGATCCGTCGTGGTCCCTTGACAGGATACTCGCCGCGATGGTTGGAGGAATGCGTCTCCTGGATGACCTTGATAGACCAAGCAGCAGCAGCCGCATCGCCAGATACTGACCTGATGCCGTAACACCGAGTGCCGGTGGCAGCTGGACCGGTCACGATCCGCCGCCAAGCCGGGGAAGAGGCCGTCACTGAGTCGTTGGTGTTCGTTGTAACCCTATGCGTAGAGCATTCCAAACCAGCCGCCCTATATATATTGCTGTACGGACATTCGGCCTGTGTTTCTCTCTTCAGAGGATGACTCAGTTCCTAGCGAACCTCATTTGAATGACACACGGTAACACTGATTGACCCTCATATCGACTGCGATTTGGGGCGATCAAGGGACCGCCCATTGAGATATTGAGCTCTTCCTCCCTGCAGGCAACAGTTGTCCAAGCTGAACGGATGGCAGAAAGAATGATCTGAATAAGACGCCGCCAAACTGGAAACGTTCAGACGGCAGACGCATCCCGCAGCGGCGACAGTACCGTATAATATGCACTAGATGACTGCCGTGACACCAAGGCGCTAACCATCTAGTACCACGCCCCCCTCCGTGTTCAACCGGCGCATATATATTACCACGTAGCATGTTTACCCACAGCTTGACGCATCATGAACCCCAAATAGGATAGAGGATATATTTTTCTTTTTCGAGCCGAGAACCGACAAGCTGTAAGCACTACAACCTGTTCTGTATAAGACAACAGGAGATGCCGGTTCCGCATTGCCGCTCTAATGCTTTGGTGAAAGACGGCATTGAGGGTATCTGACAAGCCGGAGCACAAGAATCGATCGGCCGCCGCATGCCCAGGCCGTTTAATGCAATAACAATCCGCGTTCCCCAAAAAGCCCATCCCGTCCTCTCCCCCGTTATTCGCCTCGCCACGGGCGGCGAGAGAACGCAGCCACCTGACAGAAAAAAAGAGAGTTGGAAAAAGTCGTGCTCTGCTGGTGACGGAAAAGGATGGGAATGACATCGGCTCATGGTCTGATCTGCCCAGCCCAGTGGCCCCCAAGGCGGTGTTCTTCTTGGCTCGTTCTTGCAACGCTACTGTATCCGTATATATGCATCGAAGGGCCGCCGGATGGCCGGCATCTCTGTCAGCAGCAGCCCTTTCTCCTCACCCCGGGCTGCACATCACTTCCCGCTAAGGGGGGAGGGTCTCCTCCGTTTTGTCCGGAGAGGGGACGCTGCCAGCCGATCTCTGGGTCATTCATTGGCGCTGTCACCTCAAGATGACAGCAGAAACCCTTGACTTGCGAGTCTAGTGTGTATGGATACAGTCTTCCCTTCGTCCTGCTCTGTAGAGTCCGTTACAGTTACGTACGGGTGTTAACCCCCATGTCTTCTCCAAGTCCTAGCTGCTCTCTCCCTCGTTCGACGCCGGGGTATTCACTCCACCGTCCACCCCCATCCATGTGCCATCCCACCACCACACATCATCCGACTTTAGTGTACGTTGGAAATAATGAATTCGGTATGGAGCTTTTCATCCAACCCATTCCCCTTTGGAACCCCCCCGGCCCAGTGTTCCCTGGGCCTTTTGAAGATCGGCCCTTGGGACCCAGACGCGGCTCGTCCAGTCCTGTCCTTACTTACAACCCTTGGTCCGTACGCTACGCGACCTTTGCTTGATCCACTCCCTCTTCTTCCCGCAGACGAGACAGACGCCTCCTCCTTGCTACCCTCCTCCTCGTTGGTGTTGTTCATCCGTGTCCTCCACCATCTCCAGTTCTCCGCGCCGGGCGTGGCCCACACACATCTGTGCATACCCCAGACGTTGTTCACATACGTTGGCGAAGCTGCCACCAGCCCATCAACCATTTCCGTTTTGTCCTGACTCTCGACCCCCGACATCCTTTCGTCCCGATTCGAGTGTCCTCTCAACCCTTTTCTCCTCCTCCTCCCCGCCCCATTACTTAAAGAACACAACCCCCTCCCCACCCTCCTGCTCTGAGCTTAAAGGAAGCCTTCCTCTATCAAACTGTGCGTCTTCTCCCGTGGAGCTCGACTACGCTGTACTCTTCCTGTAGAGATACCTTGTACCCGGCCGCCCATTGCTGCCCGTTTCCATACCTACCCTCCTCTCACACACCCGGAAGATCGCACACACCCAATAGACACGATGGCCACGCACGAGACCCTCAACCACAACGCCGTCCCTCCAACGGACTTGGAGAAGGATGTGCACACGTCCGGCGCCGACCACTACAACGGCGTTCAAGCAGGCCAAAACGCAGCACACGCGCGACAGACCGGGCCCTTCACCCGCGTTGCCGACTACCGGAATATGACTGAAGGCGAAGCGCAGGCGTTCGGCGGCACCCTCCAGCCCGGCCTCTGGAAGCCGTACGAGCACAGAAAGTTCGCCAACCCGGCGCCCCTCGGCCTCTCGGCCTTCGCCCTCACCACCTTCGTCCTCTCCTGCGTCAACCTGCAGGCCCGCGGCGTCAAGGCGCCCAACATTGCCGTCCCCCTCGCCTTTGGCTACGGCGGTCTCGTTCAGCTCCTCGCGGGCATGTGGTACGTCCCCCCCGGTCTTTAACTCCGTCTCCACGTTTCGAGTTTTTCTCTCCCCTTCCTTTCTCTTTTTACCCGGTGCCAGGGGGGGGGGGGGGGGGGTTTAGGGGATAGATAGTGTGTCCCCCTCCCTCCCCTCCAAGTTCCCCAACATCTCATCTCAACTCGTCTCCACGAATCCGGTTACCACCCTTCCTCTCCCCACCCGCGAGTGGAATCTGCTCCGTCGTTGCCTGTGTGGAGCATGGATGCGCCCGCTCTAATTGCGCTGGAGCGTGGGCCGTGAGCCAAACAAGAGCATGGGTGAGACGGTCGGTCAGACGGAGACGACGGGGGTGGTTCTTCATGGTCTCCCCTCCCATGTGTCAGGGAACCTGTGGAGAAGAAACCGGCATGTGTGTGTGCGATACGAGCATCATTTAGCCGTCAACCCAGACGAGACTCTATCAAACCATCTCTCAAACGCGCCAATGGCCGACTGACACTGACATTTTTTTCTTTTGGTCCTCCACAGGGAAATGGCCGTTGGCAACACCTTTGGCGCCACCGCCCTGTCGTCCTACGGCGGCTTCTGGATCGCGTACGGCATCCTCCTGACCCCGGCCTGGGGCATCATCGCGGCGGACGGCCCGTACGCGGCCAACTACTCGGACCACTACTCGGCCGTCGGCTTCTTCCTGACCGGCTGGTTCATCTTCACGACGCTGCTGCTCCTCTGCACCCTGCGCTCGACCGTCGTCTTCTTCTCCCTCTTCTTCACCCTCGACCTCGCCTTCCTCTTCCTCGCCTGCGAGAACTATGCCGCCAACAACGGCGCCCTGACGGCGAGCCGCAACCTCCAGATCTGCGGCGGCACCTTTGGCATGCTCGCCGCCTTCTTGGCGTGGTACTGCGCCCTGGCCGGTCTGCAAGACGACAGGTGAGTTTCGCGGTCCCCCCTCCCCCCTCTTTTATCTCTCTCTGTTCCCCTCTCTGTCTCCAAAATGCCGCGTCGTGCGCCATGTGGATTCCGTTTGCTAATGGGCGTTTTTTTGTTGTTGCAGCAACTCCTTCTTCCAGGTCCCCGTCTTCCATCTCCCTTGGTCCGACAAGGGTAAGGAGCTTCGCAAGGCCAAGAGCCACCGCTCGGTTGCTTAAGCAAGGTTCTTTCTTGTTCGCTTTCTCTTTTTTATTTTTATTTTCTTCGCAAAATAGTTTTCTCTTTTGATGATGATGCGCGCCATGTGCGATGGAGCAACCTCCGGTCCACAAGGGCTGCGGTGGCATGGATATATGTTGATGGAGAGAGGATACCCAAATGGTGAGGGTGTCATGCCCAGCGACGACTCATTTATTATTAGAAATCCGAAGCCATGGATGAGAGTATTCTCTTCTGCTTCGTGTTTTACCTTGTTAATATTTCTAGAGGCCCTGCAAAAGTGAGGCCGGGAGAGCAAGAACAGAGACGGACTTGACGATGCCTTGCTACAAAGGCCTTTACATAGTTTAATGAATGCCATAATTTTCTACGGGCTGGTTTCCGCTAGACTGCCCTACTTTGGTTGGTATGGTTCTGCGTCGCGTTGAGGCGAGACTTGTCAATCGTCGCAAACCGTTGGAGAGAATCGTCCCTCACCGGTGCAAAGCACGCTCGGCGGACGAAGCGACGTCGAGGAACCCTTGCTGATGCAGCAGTTTTGGAGGAGAAGTCTTGGCACCGGAATCTGCTTTTTTGGTGTTTATTTTTATTTTTTCTGCCTCGTAGGGCGGGCTCAATGTGTCGCACGTCCGCTCTCTCGCGCGCGCGCAATCACGGGAGATGCGCCACCTCGCCGCGGGAAAGGATTCGGGGGCGGCACTTGGGGCCTTGGCATACCTCACTGCTTCCTTTTGAGTTTTGCTGGAGTCGCCCGGGTGCGGAGAAAAGAGAGGGAGCGAGAGGAGTGAGAAGTATGGTGTGTGGTGAAGTCGCAGTTGAAGGGTTGGCGCCACGGCTGGGCTGATGACATTGCTACGAGGGTTCACGACTTCGGGCAGTAAGGGGTTGTCTCTTTGTCGACGACATTATTTGCTGCGAGATGGGTTTACCGACTTATTGGTGTTGCTGCGGGCTGACGATGCCGAGGCTGGTATCGACTTCAGCTTCGATGCAGCAGCGCGGGTATCATTCCAAGGAGTCTCTCGCGGATCGCCTATGATGATCTTTAAGGAATAATATCGTCAGCGTTGCCAGTCTTGCTTCACAATGTCGCATCTCATTACGAATGGTGCAATCGAGATTTGTGCACGACCTGCTCCACAACCATATTTTTCTAGTGCTTTTATAGAGCATGGCAGTCTTTGGTGTACAGTCTGTTGCGTTGGCAGCGTCCAAAACCCATTTTTTAGTCTGTGCGCTTGCGCTACACAAATACAGCACCCATGCAAATTTAGGTTTTTTAGGCAGCAAAATACAAAATCTGCATTTTAGTAACATTTAATAGTTATAATTTAAAGACACATAATAATAATAATAATAAGGGTATTTAGACCTATATAAAGGCTACTTATTAGTAATAACCTCTTCTTTATATATAATAGCTAGCCTACTAGGTAACTAAGTTACTAAAGCTATAGAAGTAGTCTTAGACACTAACTATATATTTATATAAAGAAGTAAAGTCTATAAAGTCTATAATAACTTTCTCTTTACTGTCCTTTACTATTATTATTAAATAAATATACCTTTAAATAAATATAATAGTACTAAGGTTAAATAAAGATAAGTAAAAAAAGATAATATAAATACTAAAGTTATTTAAGAAAACTAATAAAAAATTACTATATAGATAAGTTATAGTACTTATATAGTCTAGTAATAGTATTATTATTATAAAGTAACTAGCTATATAGTAGTTTATCTTCTTAGTTAGTAAAACTATATAAAGTTAGAAGTATAGTAACTATATAAGTTATTAGAGCTTTTTACCTACTATAATAACTTTACTCTTAAAAAAATATAGGATTTCTTTTATAAGTAATTTAATATAAAAGTATATAAGTTAAAGATTAGTTAGTAACTTTATAAGGCTAGTTAGACTTTAAAGTTAATTTATATTATTACTGCCTAAAGGGATAAGGTATTATAGTGTAGCTAAATATACACTATTTATAAGTACTACCTAGAGTAATTAGTATTTATTAATAAGTTAGGTGTTAATAAATATATAGGTATATAGAGAATAAGCTAGGCACTAAAAAGTCTAGTACTTTATTAAAAAGATAAGCTTAAATATAGGTAGTAATACTAAATACTTTTTACTTTTACTATAGATAGTATATTTAATATATTAATATACCTAGGCTTAATAAATAATAATAGGTTTATAGTATAGATAAAAGAGAGGGTTTTACTTAAGTATAGTACCTTTTTTATAGTAAAGTTAGTTATTATTATAGATAACACTAGCTTTTATTACTAATAAGATATTTAAGAGGTATATAATTTAGCTAGTGTATAACTATTATATTTACTATTATACTTACTTAACTTTAACCTTATTAAGAAAGTATTTAGTAACCTTAAAAAGCTTCTTTATAAGTAGTACCTAGTATAGAATAAAAATAAAGGGATTTATAAGAATTTAAAGAGCTACTTTATAACTATATAGTAGAGGTTAATTAGAGGATAAAGTAAATAAAAGGGTATTTTTATTACTTATTTATTAACTTTAATAGTATATAAAGGTTATTTAATAATATATTAATTAATAAAGAAGAATTTACTAATAGTAGTAAGGTTAAAGTTACTACTATAACTAGTAGAAAAAGTGCTATTATTAAAGTAGTAATAAAAGAAAAAAACAACTATTAATAAATAGTAAAGAAATCTAACTATAGTAACTACTTATTTACTTTTACTGCTAGCCTTATTATATTACCTTTTACTACCTTTATATAAATCTATTAATAACCTATTATTAACTACTTATATTAGGTTACTAGCTTTATTACTATATAACTTATTAAGACTAAAGTTATTACTATTAAGCTTATTATATATTATAAAGTTAAAAAAATATTAACTTATATAAATAATAGGTAATAATAAATAGTCTAATTATAGAAGTAAAAATATAAAGAAAGTATTTACTATATAGAGGTTAATATAGTTATAACTACTAGATTTAATTTAACTAACTAAATCTTCCTCTCTTAAGGTTACTTATTACCTTATTAGTTATAGTATTTATAAGAAAGAGCTTATTAATATTATTAACTTTATTAACTTTATTAGTAATATATAGTAATTTATGCCTTTAGTTAAAGCTAGTAGAGTTATATTTACTACACTTATAATACTATTAAGTAAATAAGAAAGTCTTAATTAACCTCTATATAGTGTTAATAAGGGATATAAGTATACCTTTCTCTTTATACTACTCTTTTAGTATATACTAAATAACTACTAGACTTAATAATAAGCTTTATAATTACTAAAGGGCTACATTAGTACTACCTTTATAGCCTTATTATTACCCTTTAACTTTAAGAAACTAGCTAGTAAAATCTCTTAACTTTAGTAACTACACTATAGGTAACTACTCTCTAGGTTATAAGGGTAATAATAATAGTACTTTAACCTCTCTTATTATATAAGAAGTTTATAGTACTAGTAATAAAGTAACTAATAAAGTAATAGGTAAATAATAATAAGGTTAAATTAAAGATAGCTACTAGTAAAAAGGTAGTTAATACTACTACTAGGTGTATAAGTTAACTTTTTTACTACTAAAGAATAAATTAACTACTATATTACTAGTAAAGTTATTTATAGTAGGTAGTAAAGGTCTATTAGTAGGATTTTTACCTTCTTTAACTACTACTATAGAAAGTAAATTACTTATAATTTTACCTTATATAAGTATCTTATTTTTTATTTACTACTAAGTAACTATAACTACTAGGCCTAGTAGTAAAGTATTTAAAGTTACCTTATAGTAAAGTATTATATTTTACTAACCTTTAAGGTTACTAGTAAGTAACTTATAGTAGACTTTATTAATAACTAAACACTAGTTAGTATTATTATTTACCTTATTACTATTATAGTAACTTACTTAATTTATATACTAATAATACTTTATTAAATTTTTATTACGCAGGATATTACTAACTAACACTGCTCTCTAGAACAACGTCACTTATTAATCTAACCCTTGCTCCTAAGTATAGATACTTACGGCAGAATTTACTAAGTAAGGTAATATTTAAGGAATATAGATTATAGTACTATAGATAAAAGAAATAAGCCACTTTTAACTACATAAATTACCCCTTAAACGCACTACTTAATAATAGTTATAAGCCTAGCTTTAACTTAATTTATAAGTAATAATAACCTCTACTATTATAAAGCAGTATACACTTAGAAATACCTTTCTTAAAACTAATACTCTTTCTTAACTTTATCCTACGCCTATAATGCCTTTAGAAGTAACAGTAAGTCTACTAACTAACATCTGCCTTTATAGCCTTTTAACTATATATAAAGATTAGTTCTCTTAGTATATAAAGCTTTACTTTTATACTACTTAATATAAAGTCTAGTAATTTATTAATCTAGACAGTAAAGAGGAGCTCTCTAAGCACCTAGGAGTGCCTACGCTAGCTAAATACGTTATAAAGTAAAACGCTAAGCACTAAAGGTAATATAAAGCTAACCTTATAAACTAGAATAACCTCTTAGTTAGCTAGTAAGTAAAGTAGTAAGGCTAAGAGCTTATCTAGCTAGTAGTACTAACTATTAATAATAAAGTAATAAAGTAAAAATAAATTATTATTATAAGTAATTTATCTTTTACTAAGCTAAGAATATATAAATAGTAAAAGGTAAATAACCTATTATTAAGTTAGGTTAATACTATAGTTATAAAGGAGATTATAGAGGGTATATAGCTATAATTACTAAATAATAATATTAACTTTACCTTTTATATAACTATTTTAGAGATTAAATAATAATATACCTTTTTTTATAATATAGTAAGTAATATAGCCTATATATTAAAATATTAATACTAATAATTATATGACACCTAGTTAGTTAACTATAAATAGTTTATAATTTAAGGTTAAAGGGCATAGACTAGTTATTTAGCCCTTGGTTATATCAAGAGGGGATTATACCTTTTAGTTAGCTAGAATAACTTAAGTTATACTTAAGCAGTATATAACTACTTTATACAACAATAGTAGAGTAGACCTATTTAGTTACCTAATAAGAAGTTAATTTACCCCTACGTTTTACTAAGTACATGTATATACAAAGCCTATTTAACACTAATCAGTAGTTATATAGTAATCATAGATTAGCAAGAGTAAAGAGGCAAGGTTGTAAACCTAAAAGGGATTACCTTATACTAAAAGCCTAGATCTTTACTGTTATCTACTTTACAAAAGTAGTACTAGATAGTAAAAAGAAGAAAGACTACCTATTAGTTAACGT